TCTGAGGAATACACAGCTCATCATTTTGTCTTTAGTTTTTCATCTCTTTTTTTCCGGAACATTCTCAAATATATTTCCTTTACAAAAATACTGCCTATTCTTTGACGACCAGTTTTAATACTAAACATCTTCCGCATATAGGTATCTTCGGTCTTTCAACTGTGAACTGAGTGTTCATTGCATTCTCTGAGTGTTTATCACACTCTTTGTATTCTTGGTAGGTTTAGAAACATCTGTATTACTTAACTGGGAGTTTCTAGGGCAGACCCTAGATCATGTCTTACAGTAAATTTCATTCCCATCTTCTCACAACACCTTTATAGCACTCTATCTATAGATGACAGTCTATAAACATATTTGATTAAGGAGACAATCTCTCAATAAAGAAAAAAAATAGGCATTTGAGTAAATAAGACTCAGATTTGCAGACTGAATTAAATATTGTTGGACCTCGAGTAACTTAACCTATACTTAGATTTCTCATCAAGAGAAAGGTAATATAATCTACTTTTCAGGTAGGATGCAATAATTAGAGACAATGTATATAAAACATTTCTATTAGGGCTGGATATAGTAGATGCTCAATAAATATTTATCTTCGTTTTACTCGACAGGCCATTTCTTCTCCTATGTGACATATAAAACAAGGTAGTGGCTATGAGATTGATCACTTCAGATAAGTTAGGAAAGTTGACTTTAAAATAAAAGATAGAACGTATTGTCTTACAGACAAATTATCACTGCTTTTGGAAATTTCCTGGCCAAAAGAGGGTGGTTCCCTTATTTGCATTGGTCAGCTGTGTTCTCTCTAAAATATCCCTCTCAATAGTACTTCTAGACTGCAGGAGGTAGACAGTAGATAAAGGTGGTAATCACCCAAGAAAAGACAGTTGCCACCTTCAATTATGAAGCATTTGATTTATTTTTTCATTTAGCTTAGAAGTATCTCAAGGTTTTAACTAAGTGAAGATCATGCAGATAGGTATGATTTTGAACCTAAAACATATCCCATTCTTAGTGAACTTAGAATTCCAGACAGACAGGTAAAATATGTATATAAATGGCAATAAAAGAAATGAGATGGGAGTAGGATATTAAGGTTGTGATTTAGTTGTAACTTTGGAGCAAACTCAAAAGGTAGTCCCAGAAGAACTTGTGCCTCACATCCCCAAAGGTAGACTGTTCTCTGTCTGGTTTTGGAGTTTGGATTACTAAAGTGATATGTTAATATATTTAGACTAATAGGGATGAGATCAGGATTAGCCCCAAGGCTGTGTATTTATCAAATGGCTGATTAAAATAAATAAATATAGATGAAAATTTTTTCTGCTCTATTTCCCGACAACAACAAAAAAATGCACCTGTAACTCAAATGAACAATACATGTGAAACAACACAGAATTTCCTCTGTAGTTTATATAAAATTTTATGTGAGCCTAATAGGAGATAAGCATACTACTCAAAATATGGAGATTTGCCATTTTTGAATAAAGGAATTTCACAGTACTGCTGTAGAAAGAGCAGGCAGTTCTCCCACATTTCTGTTTTGTTAAAATATGTATTTCAGCTTTTATGTGTTTGAAATGGCGGCTGCGATTTAGTAAATGCCACAGATTTAGTTTAGGTTTTATTGTTACAGTGTTACAGTTTTGATGGCACTGGGCATTCCTTCCTGTTAGTTTGTTCTGCTGCTTTCAAGAATGGTATTTAATCAGTGTCCCAGCTCATTCCATGTGTCTTGCTTATAGATCCCTCTGCACTAAAGAGAACAACCAAGTCTTCTCAAAGCTGACAGTTGTCCTAGGGATTTACAACAGATCATATCCAATTTGGGGGAAATTTGACCTTTCGTACATTCTTTTGCATAATTATTTCTGGGGGAAAATAATGCAGGTTTTGATTAAGCCCAGTGCATGGCACATAGTAGGTACTCGGTATGTTTTAAAAATAGGTTTAAAAAGAGCAAAATGTTTATTGTGTTAGACCTTGAAATGTGCTTGCTTTGAATAAAATCAGTGCCATAAAATAAATTCACCAGTACTCCAGTAGAGTGGTATTGCTTATAGGTTACCTCATGTGTAAGGACTTAAAACATTTTTAAGGATTTGCTATTGGAAAGAAGAAATTATAATAAAGACAAAGAAAACACCACGTTGTGGTTAACAATCTGTATCTAAAATTATGACTATTATTTTGGAAGACCTATGTTAAGATTTTCACTTAGTGTCATCCCCCCCGATCATATATACCTGCCATAGGGTTATAAAAAGAAAGGAGTTTTATTATGCAATGTAATGTAGTCACAGTCTTTTATGTTAAGCAAAATTTGATTGTGAAAACTAATATGCAGAGTGTAACATTTTCTTTAATAACCTGGAGTTATTCCCAGGTGATACTGAAGAGTAGTATCCTGACAGTAGAGAATGTGGGACTCTCCAGGAACAAATGACTTGACAAGATGGATATAGAGACTTCCCCCTAATACATTTTTTTTTTTTTGGTGATTGTTTGTGTACATTGAGAAGTATTTGCATTGGTTAATTATTTCTTTTCCTAGTTTTTGTCACCTTTCTATGTGCTTAGTGAAGCTTGCTATAAATTATTTAGGCCTGAACTGAAGGTTAATGTCATTGTAACCAGCCAAACTTGACGTACCCCGATACAGCTTTGTGCGGGAGGCACCTATGGCTTGATAGCTGTGTGAAACTGTTGCCTACAGAGATGGGCTCTTGACACTGTCTGCCAGCCTGAGGCTGTCCGCTTTGTGTCTGCTTTAATTGAAAATTAATAGTTAGGGGGTTGCTATGGAAATGATACCATTGCTTGCAGACAGCAAACCCAGCTTTTTGCAAAGAGACACTAGTGGTATTGTTTGTCCTTGTTGACCTCAGAAGTTCAAAAGCCTGGAGGAGGAAAGGAGATGCAAATATTTTACTTAAAAAAATGAATTTACATATTT